ACAGTCTAAATCAGTGGCCACCAACCTTTTTAACCCCAAGATCCTGACCTCAGCCTTGATGAAAGCCAAGATCTACCTATCAAAACAACAACACTGTAATACTTAAAGTGAGTAGATCATATGAAGTGCTATTGTTAACTGTTAAAAGTGCCATTGTTAACAGTAAAATGCTTATTCACTGAAGCTTTTGAAGGAACCACCATCAGCATTTTATAAATGCACAGTAATAACAAAATTCTAACAACATTCTCAATTAAACGAAGTGCAGTTCTATGCAGCATCACTTTTCACAATGCCATCAGAAGGCAAGACTGCTGCAGTGATGTTACTCACTCAAGTCAGCCTGATGGCTGTGACTGAATACTGTTTGTGAGTGCTGTGTAGTTTGGCTCATAGCTAGAGTCTGAGGCAGTTTGCGAGGTGTCTGTTAGTAAGGTGGCTCCTGTACTTTGATTTAATTATTTTCATCTGTGAAAATGCCATTTCGCAGAGGTAAGTGGATCAAAAGTAGTCACTCACTTTCAGTGCACATGCAGTGAGGAAAGAAAATTTCTCTCTGTTGTCATGTCCCCAAAAAATCACTGTCCTTGATCTGGCTTTCAGCTCTATGTCATTTTTATGTCATCTCCATGTCAGCTCCACTTGACAAAGCAAATACTTGTTGGAATTTGGCTGCAAACTGTTTTATATCAATGGGCATGAATGGGTTTGAGACAAATGCAGTAATACATTCCATGACGTCAAACTCACCAAATTGCCTACTGAAATCTGTCACCACTTTGTCCAGGTGAGCACAGAAATTCTCAGGGTGAAAAACATCCTTGTCTTCAGTGCTCTGGGACTTTTTTTTTCAGGTTGGGAAAGTTTTAGCCTCCTGTTCTTTAGATGTGTGATCCAAACGCCAAACTTAGACTTAAGTGCATTCACTGTGCTTATCTTGTGGGGCAGGTGACAGTCTTTTTCCTGGAGCTCATTGTTGAATGTATTCCGTTTTGCAGTCAAGTCTGTCAGAAACCCCATGTCCAGCAGCCACACATCATCATGTGTGGCTGCTGGACATGGGGTTTCTGACAGACTCACAGACAGTTCCTTGTGTTCCTCGTTCCTTGCAGACAAAAAAGTCTTTATCTCAGCAAGTCAATAAAATTTTGTAGCACTTTCCCACGACTCAACCATCGGACATCAGCATGAAGTAGGAGATCTTTGTACGCAGCATCAAGATCATACAGTAATTCCTTGAATAAATGATACTGAAGTGCTTTTGCTTGTATCAAGTTTGACTACCAGTGTCATTACTTGAGAAAAGTCCTCGACTTTCCAAGCCACAGCCTGATGATGAATCACACAATGATAATTCATGAAGTCAGGAAAATCAGGGCTGTTACTGCACAGTGCTATAAAACCAGAGTGCACACCATGCATTGCCGGCGCTCCATCTATAGTAATTGCTATCAGATAATGAATGGGAATATAATTTTCACTGACATTTTTTAAACTCATTGTAAATATCCTCATCTCTTGTTCTCTCCTTTAAGTGCAAAAGAGTGAGAAAGTCCTCCTTTGTTATAGAATCATGGAAAGCCATTCTGACAAAAACAATAAGCTGAGCTGTGTCCATTACATCCAGAGGTTCATCAAACAAATATTCACTGAGTGACAAGTCTTTTAAACACTTGTCGATCCATGGCCTCTGACAGTGATTCGTCCCTCCTTGCCACTGATGCAGGACTGAACGGTACACCATGGATTGCAGTTTTTATGTCATGTTTGTTTTTGAAATCCTTGAAAATGGTCTCTGCAGTTATAGGCATTGCTTTCATGAATAAATCACCATCTGTAAAACACTTTTGTTTTTTAACCAACAAGGGAAATGGTGCTTCAGCGGCGGAGCAGAGGACCACCAAAGCCAGACAGTAGACCACCACGGCGGAGCAGAGAACCACCAGAGCCAGAGAGTAGACCACCACGACGGAGCAGAGGACCCCCACGGCGGAGCGGAGGGCCACCATGGTAGAGCAGAGGACCACCAGAGCCAGACAGACCACCACGGCGGAGCAGAAAACC